GTGAATTACAGGGCAGAGGCGGTGGCCATGTTCACCATCGCTGGGTCTACACTCCAGCCTGTCCTGGCCACGGCCCTGGTATCCCAGATGCTGTTTCAATGGGCAGAGGTTTTCGGACAAGCCATAACTTCTAGCCAGATGGCTCAAGTGTATGTGGACCTGGCAGACCAGTTGGTCCACGGACCAAAGTATGTTTGTGACTCATTCCTTGACACAGCCCCACTCCTTTCCAAACTTTCCGTTTCGGCAGTAGTGCTGTGGCGCATTCTGTGTTTCAAATGTTGGTCGGCTGACCAGACCTTCAAAAAGGCTTTGGCCTTATGGGTGGCAAGAGTACCTTTTGCCTCAGTTCAAGAAGGGAAAAGAACCACTTAGGAGGACAGGACTGACCTTCAGGGTGCATAAGCAGATTTTTCATTCCCCTCGGTCCACAACAAAGGGCTCCAAACCCTTCAAGGGCTCCATTGAGGGGGCCAAGTTTCCCTGACCCTAGAAGCCCTCCAAGCCCGCAGATAAATCCACCTTGGCATGAAAGTTTGCCCCCACTTGTTCCAAGGGTGGGGGGTTGCCTTCGCTTGTTTCCAGGCCCGTGGAATTCCCTCATTCCGGCAAGTGGGTCAGCAAAACCATTCTTTTAGGATACAAAATAGAATTTCATCCCTTTCCACCAAACAGGTTCTTTCCCTCCAATCTGAAGCTCTCAACAACCCATCTGTAGGCCCTGTACGTGGTTGTGCAGGATCTGCTCCTTCAGGGAGTGATTGTTCCTGTGTCCGAGTTGGAAAGGTTCAGGGAGTTTTACACCAACCTGTTTACAGTTCCCAAGACAGATGGAGTATGCTTGATCCTGAACCTCAAGGACTTGAATGCCCTTCTGCAGGTTCACAAGCCCAAAATGGAGTGCATTCACTTGGTGGTGGCCTCCCTTCACAAAGGAAACGTTCTAGCATCTATAGACCGAAAGGACACTCACCTGCAGATTACCATCCATGAGGGACATCAGCGTTTCCTACGCTTTGTTATTGGGATCGCGCATTACCAATTTGTAGCGCTGCTTTTGGCCTGGCCTCCGCACCCCTGGTGTTTACCAAGGTCCTGACCTTGCTAAGACAACAAGGGATCACTGTGATTGGCTATCTGGATGACTTGCTGCTGCATACGGAGACCGGCTCGTCCCTGTGGGACAGTGTGGAGATCGCCATGTGTTCCCTACAGGACTTCGGGTGGATTCTGAACCTCAGGAAGTCTGTGTTGATCCTATCCAGGCGCTTGGAGTATCTGGGACTGATCCTCTGTTCAGAGCAGGCCAAGGTGTTCCTCCTGTTGGACAAATTACAGAAACTCTGGTAAGTGATCTGGCAGCTTTTGGCTTGGGATCAGACTCAGGGTCGCTGGACTCCAAAGGAGGCTCGATGGCCCATCATTGTTCTGCAGCTATGGGCGATCTGGTTGTCGCTGACGCATTGGATAATCGCCTTCGAGGTGTGCTGGATCCAGTCGGACAATGCCACCGCAGTGGCGTATATCAATCATCGAAGGCACAAGAAGTGCAGTAGCAGCACTGGATGCATTTCGCATCCTGGGATGGACAGAAAGGTTTGTTCTGGCTCTGTACGCCTTACATATTCCAGGTGTCAAAAACTGCCAAGCAGATTATCTCAGCCATCAGACGCTGGATCAGGGCAAGTACTCCTTGCACCTGGAGGTGTTCCATCAGATCTGCTTTTGCTGGGGGATGACGGAGGTAGATCTCCTGGCATCCCGTCTCAATGGAAAGGTTCCATGATTCATGGCAAGATTGATGGATCCTTTGGCAGATGTGACGGATGCCTTAGTGGCACCAAGGGATCAGTACAATCTCATCTATGCCCCTCCAATTGATTCCTCGTCTAATACACAGGATAGAGTCTGAAAGGATTCCTGTTATTCTGGTGGCTCCTGACTGGCCTCGCTGTCCGTGGTATGCCGATGTGCGGTTGGTGGCAGACGCTCCCTGACGGCTGCCTCTTCTGGAGGAACTTCTGTCTCAGGGGCCGGTGTTCCATCCTGCTTTGCAATCGCTGGCTTTTGACGGCATGGCTATTGAAAGCCAGGTTCTGAAGGAAGGGGGATTGTCTGGCTTGGTAACTTCCGACTATGTTAAAAGGCTCATAAATCTACCTCCCGGAAGCTTTATCACTGCACCTGGGGAGCTTATATTGATAGGTGTGAAGCTCTGGGGTTCCATCCTCGCTCCTTTTTGGTGGCCCAGGTGTTGGCCTTCCTCCAACGTGGTCTGGATCAGAAACTGGCATTGAGCACGATTAAGGGTCAAGTCTCTGCTCTGGTTGTTTTCTTTCAGCATCCCTTTGTCACGCATTTATTGGTTCGCATTTTCATTCAGGGAGTTCATCATGTGGTGCCCCCTGTGCGTTCCCTGTTGCCACCGTGTGAGTTGAATTTAGTGCTGTCAGCTCTCCAGAAGCCCCCCTTTGAGAGTATTTGAGATATTTCTTTATTTATTGCCTTCTTAGTCGCTGTCACTTTGGCTTGAGAGTTTTGGAGTGGGCGGCTTTGTCTTGTAAGCCGCCTTACCTGGTTTTACAAAAGGACAAGGTGGTGCTTTGAACTTTCCCTTCTTTTCTGCCGAAGATAGTGTCAGATTTTCACTTAAATGAGAATATTGTCCTTCCTTCTCTGTGTCCTTGGCCGTTGCACTCCAAGGAGGTGGCTCTATACTCCCTGGATATGGTTCATGTTATTTGTGTGTACCTTTCTGTGATGTCTTCCTTTCCGAGGTCCATTTCTCTCTTTGTGCTCAAGGATGGTCTGAAGAAGGGCTTGGTTGCCTCTTCTGCAACTATTTCCTGTTGGATTTGGCAGATGATTGTGCAAGCCTATACCATTAAGAAGCGGAAACCTCCCTTCTCTGTTACAATGCACTCCATGAGGTCAGTTAGCGCCTCCTGGGCGTTCCGACATTAGGCTAGGCATCTGTTTCTCAAGTTTGCAAGGCAGCAACCTGGTCATCTTTGCACACATTTACTAAGTTCTATAAAGTTGATGTGTTAGCATCCTCTGTTGCTAGTTTTGGCTGCAAGGTTTTGCAGGTGGCTGTTTAGGATTCCTGGGCACCTCTTGGGGTGGCATGTTGCTCTGGGTTATTTCTCCATTAGTTGATTCACCCACCCCTCATTATGGCACTGCTTTGGGCCATCCCTGTTTGGTCATGGATAAGGAGGAAGAGGCTGTGTTCGTCAATGAATATAAGAGAAAACAGGATTTTTTGTTACTGTAAAATCACTTTCTCTGAGTTCAGTGATGGACACAGCACCCACCCCTCTATGGAGTTTTTCTCTTTGACTCTGCTTGTGACTGACTGAAGGCTTATAGTAGAGAGGGGGTTTCATGAGGACTGCCCATAGGAGGTGCTGAGTTTATTTTCTGCCTAGTATTCTACTGCTGTAGGTGGGCCTATGAAACCCTGTTTTGTCATGGGTAGAAAAGAAAAGAGGCTGTTTCTGTCAATGTACTCAGAGAAAAGGATTTTACCGTAACAAACAAAATCACGTTTTTCTGCTCTGTGGAAATGGGTATGCCTAAGTAGCATATACACTGTTTTACCCATACAGACAGAAATGATGCCTGCAATTGTTGTTGGATACTTTTAGAAAGGTTAGTCGTGAGAATTTCAGATTTACTGTAATTTATTCTAAAATTGGATAACTTTCTATACTTATTCATTTCTGTCATTGATATAAGAAGGGTCTGTAATATAAAAAAAAAATATGGGTCTGAAATATAAAAAAGAATATTGTTGACATATGCTGACGGTTATTTATTTTCAGTAAGTCCTATCGACAATCCTTTTCTATCAGAATTTTGCCTAAACTTGCATAGAAAGGGCTCTAACACTAAAGCAAACAATAAAGATGACAGGGGGCATACTTATCTCGTCCCATTGGAAACCATTCCAAAAAAAATTCCATTTACTAATATCCTAGCTTCTGGCTTCTGATATGGTGAGCGTAACCATCCCGCCATATAACTACCTAGTCCCAAGAACCGTAATAGTTCTTCCATAAAAGTCCAGCCCACCCTGTCAAAAGCCTTTTCAATGTCCCTAGAAAGAATTAAAAGGGTTGGGAGGCTAGCTGTTGAGTGTCCCAGTAGATGGTGTTAACCCCTTCACACCAACTTAACACAAATATGCGGCCTCACAGAACTGGGCTTTTTTCTATGGGGCCGCATATTCACGTACCTGTCTTTGTGCTAGGAGCGCGCCGCACAGCACGCTCCCAGCACAAAGACCGGGGTGTCAGTGAGAGTCTTGGGTCCTGTGCTAACGATCAGGACCCGGGACTCCTGATTTCCGGGTCACATGATCACTGTGAAAGCCTCTGATTGGCTATCACAGTGATCAGTCACTGTACAGCCCGCCCCCCCTTGTTTTATTTTTCTCTGTGAATGGAGGAGAGAGATTAATTTTATCTCTTTCTCTCCTTGCATAGAGGAAAAGAACACCAAAAAAAAACCTGTTTGTTAAAAAAAAGATAAATAAATAAACATTAAAAAAGAAAAGAAAAAATAACGGTCAAGGTTTGATCTAGTTCAGTGCCAGGGTTAGTGTTTGGGTCAAGGTCAGGGTCAAAGGTCAGGTTTTTTTTTTTTTTTAAATTGGTGTTAGTGTGTTTTAGGTAAAAAAAAATAAACAAAATGCGCAATATTGTTGTAGTACAGGTACAAACAACAAATAACTTACACATATATGGTATCGCTGCGATCGTCAAGAGCTGGAAAATTTATTTTGGGTTGTTCTTTGGTAGTAGGTTATGGTACTAAAGAAGCATAATAGTCTTGAAAATTGTTTTTTATTAGAGGACAGGAAATGTGTGTATGTTTACTGTGTGTATATATACACACTATATTGCCAAAAGTATTGGAACACTCCACCAAATCATTGAATTCAGGTGTTCCAGTCACCTCCATGGCCACAGGTGTATAAAATCCAGCACCTAGGCATGCAGACTGCTTCTACAAACATTTGAAACAATGAAGAATGAGTTGCTCTCAGGAGCTCAGTTAATTCAAGTGTGGTATCGTGGTAGGTTGCCACCTGTGAAATAAGTTCATCCGCGAAATTTCCTTGCTACTAAATATTCGCCAGTCAACTGTTAGTGGTATTATAACAAAGTAGAAGCAAATGGGAACAACAGAAACTCAGCCACGAAGTGGTAGGAAACGTAAAATGACAGAGCAGGGTCAGCGCATGCTGAAGCACACAGTGTGCAGCAGTCGCCAACTGTCTGCAGAGTCAATGGCTAAAGACCTCCAAACCTCGTGTGGCCTTCAGATTAGCACAACAACAGTGCCAAGCGAGCTTCATGGAATGGGTTTCCATGGCCGAGCAGCAGCATCCAAGCCTTACATCACCAAGTGCAATGCAAAGCGTTGGATGCAGTGGTGTAAAGCACACCTCCACTGGACTCTAGAGCTGCGGAGACATGTTCTCAGGAGTGACAAATCAAGCTTCTCTGTCTGGCAAATCCGATGGATGTGTCTGGGTTTGGCAGTTGCCAGGAGAATGGTACTTGCCTGACTGCATTGGGCCAAGTGTAAATTTTGGTGGAGGGGGGATTATGGTGTGGGATTATTTATGAGGGGTTGGGCTTGGCTCCTTAGTTCCAGTGTAGGGAACTCTTAAAGCATCAGTTTACCAAGACATTTAGTAAAATTTCATCCTCCCACCTTTGTGGGAACAGTTTGGGGATGGCTTCAGTGCACAAAGCAAGGTCCATAAAGATATGGTTGAGCGAGTTTGGGGTGGAGGAACTGTCCTGTCCTGACCTCAACTCTATATAAAACCTTTGCGATGAATTAGAGCAGAGACTGCAAGCCAGGCCTTCTCGTCCAACATCAGTGCCTGACCTCACAAATGCGCTTCTGGAAGAATGGTCAAACATTCCCATAGACAAACCTTGTGGACAGCCTTCCCAGAAGAGTTGAAGCTGTTATAGCTGCAAAGGGTGGGCCAACTCAATATTGAACCCTACAGACTAAGACTGGGATGCCATTAAAGTTTGTGTGCGTGTAAAAGCAAATACTTTGGGCAATATAGTGTGTGTGTGTATATATATATATATATATATATATATATATATATATATAAATACGCCACTAGATGCCACTCTAAGCTGCATATTGATATCGCTTAAAAAACATTGTTCAAGTATATTTTCCGATAAATGGTAACAGATTTGTAGGTCATTTATATATCCATATATGATATTTTTTAAGGAACAGTGTACCCACCTTAAATGTCTATAAAGGGGATTAACTAATTCTGGTATATAAATTGCTACTCGTTTATTCACAGAGGCTGTTCAAATATAAACAGTGGACACTGATCGGAAAACCATCTACCAGATTTACAAAGTATCCATTAAAGATTAAAAGTGCTCCAATTCAGTTATGATATTGCTCGTAGACACAGGTGTGGTGCCGCTCCTATTTATATATATCCCCCACCAACGATAAGTCATGCCTGGTTACTTCTGAGTCATGATGTCATTATAGTATGCGTTTCACCATGCATGTGCATTAGGAAGCTGCAGAGACATCGGGGTAATCTGCCTCTATGTCCCACCTCCTTACTGCTGAATACCTCAGCCAATATGGAGAAGGCCTGCCTTGCAACAAGACAGGATGTCCTCCTTATGGGGAAATGACCATTTCTAATAATTGAGTATACATACCAATTAAGATTCACATATGTGTATAGTAAACTGTACGAACTATGGGTAGAGGCATATGGAAATGTATTGATTGTTAACACGATATATGTTTATTTTAAGATATACTTTTTGTTTCTTAGGAAAAAGTACATGTTTTATAAATTCTTTCAATTCAAGTGAAGATGCACTATATTGCCAAAAGTATTGGGACGCCCCTCCAAATCAATGGATTCAGGTGTTCCAGTCACCTCCATGGCCACAGGTGTATAAAATCAAGTACCTAGGCATGCAGATTGCTTCTACAAATATTTGTGAAAGATTGGGTCGCTCTAGGGAGCTCAGTTAATTCAAATGTGGAACCGTGATAGGTTGCCACCTGTGCAATAAATCCAGCCGTAAAATTTCCTTGCTACTAAATATTCCATGGTCAACTGTTAGTGGAATTATAACAAAGTAGAAGCAACTGGGAACCACGTCAACTCAGCCACCAAGTGGTAGGCCACGTAAAATGACAGAGCTGGGTCAGTGCATACTGAAGCACACAGTGCACAAAAGTCGCCAACTGTCTGCAGAGTCAAAAAGCACCAAGGAGCAGGGCCCTCCTAACCCTCTTGTACTGAACTTTATTGTTGCAGTATTGTCTCCGTTATATTGTAAAGCGCAGAGCAAACTGTTGGCGCTATATAAATCCTGTATTATTATTATAATAATAATAATAATTTAGCTAAAGACCTCCAAACTTTTTGTGTCCTTTAGATTAGCACAACAACAGTGCATAGAGAGTTTTATGGATTTGGTTTCCATGGCCAAGCAGCAGTGTCCAAGCCTTACATCACCAAGTACAATGCAAAGCATTGGATGCAGTGGTGTAAAGTTTGCCACCACTGGACTCTAGAGCAGTGGAGACATGTTCTCTGGAGTGATGAATCACACATCTCTGTCTGGCAATCCAATGGACATGTCTGAGTTTGGCGGTTGCCAGGAGAACGGTACTTGCCTGACTGCGTTGTGCCAATTGTAAAATTTGGTGGAGGGGGGATTATGGTGTGGGATGGTTTTTCAGTGGTTTGGCTTGGCCCCTTAGTTCCAGTGAAGGGAACTCCTAAGGCGTCAGCATACCAAGACATTTTAGACAATTTCATGCTCCCAACTTTGTGGGAATTGTTTGGGGATGGCCCCTTCCTGTTCCAATATGACTACGCATCAGTGCAGAAAGCTAGCTCCATAAAGACATGGATGAGCGGGTTTGGGGTGGAGGAACTTGACTGGCCTGCACAGAGTCCTGACCTCAACCTGAAAGAACACCTTTGGAATGAATTAGAGCGGAGACTGCGTGCCAGGCCTTCTCGTCTGACAGCAGTGTCTGACCTCACTAATGCACTTCTGGAAGAATGGTCAAACATTCCCATAGACACACTCCTAAACTTTGTGGATAGCCTTCCCAGAAGAGTTGAAGCTGTTCTAACTGCAAAGGGTGGGCCAACTCAATATTGAACCCTACGGACTAAGACTGGGATGCCATTAAAGTTCTTCTGCGTGTGAAAGTAGGTTTCCCAATACTTTTGGTCTCTGGAGACCAAGTCTTCCTTTTCTGTGTAGCAAAACTATTTCAGTTATGAATATTTCTGTAACAAATAACTGCTGATAGCCTAAAGATTTACTGCTGCTCAGAGGCTCTGGGCTTAAGCAAAATGGAAGCCTCTGGCACAAAGAAGCAGGAACAATGCTGGAGACAATTTATAGCACACGCTAATTTTGGTAGCATAATAATTATTGTGTAATGTATGTTTCTTGCTAAAGAACGTTCTTTTTTATCAAACTGTTATGGGTAAAGTTACACATTAACTGATCCACCAGGTTCACCAATAACAGTTGTTTTCCAGATTATAGAACCACAGGGCACCTGATAAAAGTTCTTGTTTTAAATTGTGATTAACAAACTAAGTACCAGTAAAGCAGGCCATAGACGGAATTTGGCCGATAAACGAAAAATTGGTCGGCCCCGTTGCCGATGCTACCACCCATGTCCACGAAAAACAGCCGTTTTTCATGGATTTTCCAGCATGACCAATAAAACTAAATTAGAAGATCCGCGAAAAATATGGCCGACGGGCTGGCCCCACTAACGGCATGAATATTGGCCGATTTTTCGTGCGGGATGAAAATTTGGCTGATAAACGACCCGTCTATGGCCTGTATAAGTCTAGAAAGGATAACCTGTTAGTGGTTCCTAAAGACTAGACTCTGGTCTATATACACCATACTGGTCAAAAGTTTTAGAAAACCCACATTTTTCCAGTTTTTATTTCATATTACTCAGTTTATTGTCTCATTATTCACCGAAATAAAGCACAGCATAAAGCCATTGTAAATAATAAAAAAAAAAAAACCTTGAAAACCTTTTGTTTAACAAGAATAAATCTAATGCTGGGTACACACTGTGATATTTGTTCGTTCTACCAGGGGGTTGAAAAGAAAAAAAAATCAGATTCCTGCATTCACACAAAACTATGTGGATGCAGGAATCTCCCCCTCTGTGCTATTGTATCAGCATTGCAGTTACTGGCTGCAGTGACTGATTAAATTCTGATTTTCCAACAGGACCGTAGGACAGAAGCCGGTCTAACAATTGGCTTCTGTGGAACAGAGAGGACTACACACAGTTTGAAATTCAGCCGGTTCCTTCCGAACCAGTCAAAATTTAAATCCATGTGTACTTAGCTTAAGTTTCTGACTCAAAGTAGCCACTTTTTGTAAAACTAAAAGTTGAAAAGCTTATTGCAATCTTTCTACAATGAAGAGTGTTGAGAACAATGGAAAGTTTCTCTGAACACTGTTACAGACGTTTCCGCTTGTGTTGCACTTGCAAATTGTTTTGCTTTCGTCCTTATGTCCAACTCTTCCAAGAATCAAGACTTCTGGTTATGCCCTGATTTGAAGCCTACCTTTTTTTTCTAAAAATAGTCCTGACATGTCTGGAGGTTTTTAACTTGCTGTAGGTTGATACCACCTGACCAACTTGGCATAGACCAGAGGTTTTAGATTGGAATTCTGAATCGAAAGGCCTACCACAGCACTTTGCAGCAGTCATTTCCACAAGTCCCTGACCTTGGATCCAGCAAAATAGCCCCAGACCTTCACACTTCCTCTTCAGCGTTTATCAGTTGGAGACACTCTAACACAGCCTTTCTTAACTGGGGTGCTATCTAAGTTTGTCAGGGTTGCTGCAACATCCTGCTTGAGAAAAGATGCACATTACTGTTGGCTCCCACGTTGGTGACAGAGTATACAGGGCTGAGACTAGCGTGGTTTTATTCACCTTAATTGGTCGCATTTGGTGAGCAGTAGTGCCCACAATCACCACAGGGTTATAATCCCAATACTTTGCTTTGTGGCAGCAGCAGGTGCATGACCACTACCTCTGCAGCTAAAGGGGAGCAGTTGGGGGGTTGGTAAAAATGCAGCTTATCTGTGTGGTTTTACCGTCGCCCAACCTCAAGTTGTGAACAAGCCATTTGACTTGGGTGCCTCAACAGTAAAAATACTTTTAAAAGTGCACCGTGGCTGAAAAAAATTGAGAAACACTGCTGTAATGAATCATCTTTTCAGAGGATCAAGAAACATTTTTTTGTAGAAGAGATATAGGGAGGGGATTAATCAAAACTGGAGCAGATAAATCCTGGAGCGGTTAGTCATAGCAACCAAATCGTTTCTGTCGTTCATTTTCAAACCGTAAAATAGATTCCAGGCTATACCTAATTGCAAAATGTTCCCTTCCCTCTCGTAACACCTATGCTGATTAACCTATGTAAATAAAGATGTATATGCTTACCTCTTTTCAGGCCATTTCAGTCCAGTTACGTGATCCAACATCCCTGTGTCAGTCAACTGCAGGGGAAAGGAGGGAACGCTGACAATGGATGGGCCACAGGAGCCTATTGCCAAGCTTTTTGACCTTTCACTTGCAGCCACTGTAGGCTGACACAGGGGAGATCACATGACTGGAGGGGGGGGCGCTGTGTTGGCTGGCTAGGGGACTGGAATGGCCCCTGAAAAGAGTTTAGGGTATAAATCTTTCTTACACAGGTTAGTCAGCATAGGTGGTATGAGGAGCAATAGAGCATTTTTAAGATTAACTAGGTATAGTCTGGAATTCCACTTTAAGGAAACAAGTTGAACATAGAAGCTGATTGATTGCTGTGCACAGCTGCTCCAGATTCTGGAAGCTCTAGTTATAAATTCCTTCCAGGAAGTTTGTCTCTGCTGTATTAAAACCTCCTGCTTACTATTTTGTGTTTTAGAGTTTGGATGGGATTTGAGGGAGTTTACTTAGTTTAACCACTTTAGTCGGGGAACCATTTTAAAATTTTTTGTTTCATGTTTAAAAAAAATCCTTTTATGCCTAAAGATTAGTTAAAACCTCCAAACATTATATATTTTCTAAAAGCAGACACAATAGAGAATAAAATGTTGGTTTTTTTTTTTTTGCACAACGGTTTATGAAACGCAAAATTTTATTAAAAAATAAACTAAAGTTAATTTTTATGGCACACAAACGCAATGCATTACAAAATTGTTTTGTAAAATATTAAAGACATGGTAAAAGACCCAACATGCCGAACCCTAAAATTGCATGTGACCATGAAATGGTGGCAAACTTCAGTACCCTATATTTTCCATAAGTGCTTTAACCGCCTCCTGCCCGCCATATAAGGTAATGACGGGCACAAGGCAGTTCTCTCGTTCTGGAAGGACGTCATATGACGCATGTGCGGCTATGGGGGTGTGCAGCACGGCGATCGGTGGTGCTCTGTGTCACAGCGGTTCACCGATCAACGAAAAGAGCCGAAGATGATGGCTCAGTCATGTGATCAGCTGTGTCTAATCACAGCTGATTGCATGTAAATAGGGAAATGCCGGCTAACAGCATTTCTCTCCTCACGAGCTGTCACGCTGACAGCTTGTGAGGAGTGGAGAGCCGGTTATCGCCATCCCTCAGAGGAGACATCTACACTGATCATCGGGGCAGTGATAATCAGTGTGCCCTGATGATCAGTATAGCCCCAGCAGTGCCACTTGTCAATGTCCATCAATGCCAGCTGTCAGTGTCCATCAGTGCCACCTGCCAGTGCCCATCAGTGCCACATATCAGTGCCTACCAGTGCACATCATTGCCACATATCAGTGCCCATCTGAGCTGCCTTTCAGTGCCACCTATCAGTGCCAGTCAGTGCCGCCTATTTGTGCACATCAGTGCCACCTATCATTGCGCATCAGTGCCGCCTATCAGTGCCCGTCAGTGCTGCCCATCAGTGCCGCCTAACAGTGCCAGTCAGTGCTGCCTATCAGTGCCACATATTAGTGCTGCCAATCAGTGCCTTATATAAGTGCTGCCTTTCAGTGCCCATCAGTAATGCCCATCAGTGCCACCTACCATTGCCTAATCAGTGCCACCTATCAGTGCCCATCAGTTAAGCCTCATTAGCGCACATCAGTGAAGGAGAAAAATCACTTATTTACAAAATTGTATAGCAAAAACTAAGAAAAAAACTTTTTTTTTTTTTCAAAAAATTTCAGTTGTTTTTGGTTTATCAAAAAATAAAAAATCCAGAGTTGAATAAATAACACCAAAAGAAAGCACTATCTGTCTAAAAAAAAATGCTAAAAATTTCATATGGGTACAGTGTTGCATGACCGCGCAATTGTCATTCAAAGTGTGGCAGAGCTGAAAATTGGCCTGGGCAGGAAGGGGGTTTAAGTGCCCTGGTTAAAAGCTCTTACAGGTCATCAGTTTAGGATTCACCTTGAATAATGGACCTAGAAATATTGTTCTTACTCCAGCATGAGCTGCAATATGTAATGTGTATGGCAACCAGTGTTTTCATAGTCGCCCCCAAAGCATACATTTATGTTTGCACGAATGTCTATCTGGGGGGTAGGGCTCAAAAAAATTTTTTTTGGGGGGGGATTTTCAGTGCTTGGATATAAGTTTATTTTTTACCTCTTTATTACTTTTTTTTATCACATAGCAGACAAAAAGTCCCCTTTGTGATGATTTTTTTTGGTGATAGGTTTCTTTAATCAAACATCAGGGATCTTGAGGTCTCACCTGTCCTCCAATGAAGCTAATAGAATGCAGATCACAATCCATTAGCTTCTTCCCTAGTCACATTAGTTGGTGAATATGACCCAGGGACCAAGAAGAGATGTTTTACACGTTGCTTCTGGGTCAGTAAGAGGAGGAGACCAACAAATGGATGTTTGCTGGTCTGTCCCTCCCCTGTACCCAGCTGCACCTGCCATGCTGATCCTGGGTCTGCTGATGTGCATGTGAAGTCCAGGATATATAGCGGGGCGTAACAGGTGGGGCTTGGTCGTTGTTACGATGGTGATCAAAGTGATTGGGTGGCTTCAACGCCACCAGTATCAATTCCACGTGAAAGCCTTAACAAACATACACACACTCCCAGAGACTATAGCCACCAGGAGTGTATTTAAAAAGCACCTGATCTCAGCTCTGCCTTAAAACGGCACAGGGACTCATCTGTCAGCTGTGTCCTTACTGAAGTGATATGCAAGTTTGGGATAAAGTGTGGATTGGAGCTTTGGGAATATTTGGGGGATTTTTTTTTTCAGTTGGTCATAATACTACCAATTCTGAACCAGTACCGGTAGGTGGCCTGACCATGGCATTGCTAAAATAGACACTTTATAAAAGGGGGGCACATATTGTTGAACAGTAAAGATATAGTTAGTTCTACAATAAGTTTCATGGGGATAGGGTAGTAAACGTGCATAGAATATATGGAGGAATCGCTGACAATATGCCAAATCAGCAATCAATAAAACAAAGAGTGAAAAAATACTTCTAAGGTCTGTCTAGTGTGCACACTGCTGTTAGGTACAGAGGACTATAGGAAGAATATAAAAATCAAAAATGATCAGTGACTGAGAAGACCAATGTAGCTAAGGGTTAATGAGGATGTATGGTTGTGCTTATCATCTCTTCCCAGATTCCACTTCCTGAACAGATTTCAAGGGTTAAGAAATCTAACAAATAAACCTAGTGGTATTGCAAACTGTAGGATTATATAACAACAAGTGAACCACCTAAAAACTACATGCATAATGAAGAAGGAAGAAATCTTACAGATGTTAGCTCTATGAACAAGGGAAAGGATCTTTTGTATGTAGATATCATGTAGCAAACAGTCTCAAGTTAGGTGGTAGGGTATCAACTTACAGTTCATTGCCAAGAAAGGGTGGCGGCTCTCCAATATACTTTGGGCTTCCTTTGTTGCCTTTCCACCCTGTTTAAAGATCAATTTGAAGAGGAATATCTATTTTTTACTGTGGGATGTAAGGTTTGAGGGCTCTTTGTTTCTGAATGGTCACTGGAAATAGGCCAGTAAAAATCTGATAGGGGTGATCCTGAAACAAAGGTTTTTGCATTTAAGAGTTTTAGCCAGTATGGATTATCTTGTTCTGAAATAAATAAATTTTATGATGATGTCCCTCCAGTTTCCTTTGTGCCAGACCTCTGTGAGTTATATCAAGCTCTTCCCTTTTAATTGGAATATGAGGAGCCAGTTCTTGAAAGCGTGCTGTGACTGTGTAAGTCAAATCCTCTAACTGTTCTGGTAGGTTTCTGATGATTGGGTTACTGCGCTCAGCGCAGTTCTTCCTATTCTCTAGCCAGCGGAGGACTGAGAACAATTCTTTATGTTTTGTGCCCACATCTTGTTTGTGGGAATCAGTTATGGTGATCACATTGTCCATAGTGTGTTCGATTTTCCAGTTCAGAAGCTGATTTTGAAAATCTTTCCCGTGAGGTCAGCTGCAGGTTTTCCAGTAGGTGCTGCAAGCTCTGTCTGCAGCATGGATCTGAATTTCTCCAGGAGGATTGTGCCCCTCAGGTTAACCAGTAACCAAGGGATATATTGTGATGCACTCTCCATGGGGGGTGATTCGAGGCCCTTCAGGAAAAGCTAAGGGGATTCTGTTTTTTCTCTCTGTCTCATAAGTCTTCACAACCTTCTTTCTGCTCTTTGCAGATGATTTAGTTGTCTCCTCCTGTCCTGAACTGGATGTCCTACCCATTCATTTTTGGGGGTGTAGGGAGCAGTAAGATTTTTAGAAGGAATAGGGGGACAGCCTGTGTTGAGCTTACCCGAGATAATTGCTTGTGAGAGGCAACCTGAAGTGCCTGGGTTTAGTAAAGCCAAGTCACAGAGCAGGTGTCTTGCTTAGCTGCTCGCAAGCACCATCATTTTTGATATGTCTAAAGATATGTTTATTGGTTTTCGAGTAAAAATAATACAGTGATAAAACAAAATCCCAAATATCCTCTCACATCTCTTCAGTATACATCAGTAAGAAAAGAGCAGAGTTTACAATGGGTACACTGAAATTGAGTGGTAAACATGCACTATATAAATCTGAACATCCCCGATCTGGAGACCCAGAAGTTATAGACAGTGGGACAGGTCTATAAACAATGCAGGAAATCAGCTGCAACACCACAGCCCCCGCAAACGACTTTTGGGCCAAGACCCATTTTGTGTAATGTTTCCGATGTAAACTTACTGTGGAGGAACCGCATCAGTTAGATAATCCTGTCCTCAGAGGAGACTAGCACACCCTTATGTTCCTTCAAATTCTCACCAATTCGGGTCAGTATGTTGAAGGTCTGGCAAAAACCACTTACGTTGGGCAGCAATGTATCTAGATTTAGAGTCTGCAATTAGTGTGGAGTAATAGGAGATGTTTCACTTGGCTTCCTTAGTAATTTCTCAAGAGGAGTTACCAAAGTGAGGTTAGTTGGGGACCCAAATTGTAGTTGGACAGCATGTCAGAGTTAATAATACAAGACCAAAGTCTTCCTGCAGCTGCAGAAAGGATTTAAATCCCTGTGTTGTGTAAAGGTGGCATAGGTACTTAACTCCTCAGTAAGTCCACCTCTGTGTAACAGGGATGGAAAGGATGAAAAGGATGGAAATTAGGGAGGTGTTATTTTGAGAAGTTGACCAACTTTCAGTTGAGGTATACTTTTGTATCTGGAGAAATATGGAAAGGGAGGTCTTCAGCATAGTAGTACCAGTAAAAGGGGGAGCCTGCATATAATGTTATATAGGGACTCAAAATAAGATGCTGGGGGGTGTGGCTTGATGATGGCAAAGTGAGACTGCACTTTCCTGGAGCTTCGTCCCTAACCCCCTTACAGTCTAGCCTTAATGGACAACCCGCCGAGCCTGAACAATCCTAAAGGTGCCAAGATGCCTCTGGTACCTGCACTAAGTGTCTGAAACTCTCTGGTTCCAGAATTCTTTCCTCCCCAAAAACCTGGATTGCTCAAACCATGTGAAGCCAATATGGTGCTGCACTCCCATGCATCTGATTCAGGGGATTGTGCTGCCTCCTCCTCCTCTCCAACTAAATATCCCTATTCACCTGTCACAGAGAAGTGCCCTCGGGACCTGGCCTCCGGTGCCCTAGAGTGAGGTGGGGGTCTATCCAGGGGGGTGGGAGGTGCGGAGTTTGGGTGGATTGGCTTGGGGATATGCGTTGATATGCTTGATGTTTGTAGTACATTTTTTACATCCAGAATAAATACTGCCATTGTTAGCCTATGAGGTGCAATATCCCTTTTGGTGGTTTTTGTTTGTTGTACATGGTTTTTGGATGCATCTCCCCAATGTAGGGTCAGGCACTGGCAGGTATACCAATCCCAGGACAAGGCATTTGCCGTGAGGCTTACATACCCTACAAGAACAACACCTTGAGGCACTATACTTCCAACACGATGATCTGGACAACAGAAACCAGGGAAACAATCTGAAATTGAGGGGCATCTCAGTGGCAACATTAGATGCAGATCTGAGATCCACAGTGACCGCCATCTTAAACAAACTGCTGGACAGGAACCTGGCAGAACACACGCTGACTTAGACTGGGCCCACAGGATTCAGGGGCAGAGATCCCCTTCTGCAGATATCACGAGGAACACTCTCTGTAGGGTCCACTTCTTTAATCTCAAGGAGATTATCTGGAATGCCTATCTTGCGGGACCCATTGACTTTGATGGGGCTGCCATCCATATATTGCCCGGTCTGTCCCACGGGATACTACAGATGAGAAGCTGTATGTAGTGTCTGGATCTGCTTACAACTGACAGAATTACCTGTCGCTGGGGATATCCCTTCATTTTGTCATTTGGAAAGCTGGTACTACATTTAGGCTGCATATGCCCTCCCAGCTCCTGGACCTCTTTGATTTTCTACAAATGCCAGCTGTTCAGATCCCAAACTGGACAGCTGTGGGGGTCCCACAATTGTTGCCTCCACCACCGAGACCTCAGCAGGCCCAATATCCAGTGCGGCACCTGGCAAAACCCTTGAGACCATAAACAGTAATGAGCTTGTTGAACCTGTTCTTTGCCAGGGATAACTGCCTTGCCTGGACTGTACCGTTTGTTTAATTATTAGTACTGTCTATTACTGACTCCCTCTACCATTACTTAGAGCTTTTATTC